CCTGTGACATAAAGAAAAGACATGTGGCTATCTCAAGGGCTATCTATTTCAAAAATTAAATTATTCAAATGTCATATAATAATGGCGGTAGCTGTCATGGAATTGAGCGATTAAAAAATTATCATAAATTTTAATTAGACATATTCCTATACCTAAAATAAATCGTTTTTAAGTTATTTAAGATTTAGTTTGAAAACGTATATTTTTCTTGATTTTATCTAGCTTCCTTTGACATTAAGTGCCAAACAGTCAGACAATTTATTTCCATCTGTCAGAAAATGAATTATTTGAATTTCCTATATTATAACTACTGCCTGCTTAAAAGTTTAAAAAGTGTATTTATATAAATATATCTCCATATTTTCGTTCTTTAGAGTCAATCTAATAGTTGATATTTTAATAATATACCGTACGATCGAAAAAAAAACAGCGCAAAGCTAGGAAATGATGATCTAGGAAATGATAATATACTGTCATATAGACTACTGGTAAAAAATCAAGAAAAATATACGCTTTAAAGCTAAATCTTATATAACTTAAAAACGATTTATTTTAGGTACAGGAACGTGTAGAGTCAAAAAGTAACAAATTTTAAAAACGACAGTATCGAAAGCCTTTTCACGAGTGAAATAAAAAAAGTTGATTTCCATTTGATAATTGTTTAATCGCTCAATTCCATGACAGCTGCGGCCATTATTGTATGACATTCGGACAATTTAATTTTTGACGTAGATAGCCACATGTCTTCTCTTTATGGTACAGTGGCTGTGGCAATCACTAAATTTGACGTTTAGGCCAGGGGGGTGACAGTGAAATAGAAAAATTGGAAACAGTCATTAGTGTCATTCCTGTCATTCTCCTCACGACAAGTATGGCCGCCGAGACAAGGACAGCAATGTTTCTGTCTAACTATTGTCTAACTTCACAGTGTTTAAAATTGACAGATTTCAGTTTCAGAGACAACTTCAGATTTGTTCTAGAACAAATTAGAAAATATTCGACGCCATTTTAATTCATTCCGTTTAGTTTCGTTTTGGAAGTTCAATTTAATATTTCGGCTGAAATTTATAAATATAAAGGTAATAAAGTATATAAAATATATATTACATGAAGAATCCTGGAGAAAATGACGTTTCTGCAGTAGTAGGTATGTCCCATGTATATGAAAAATAGGTAGTAAATAAACACAGTTTTTACATTTTTTAGATGCAAGAAAATGGTGTTATAATCTCTTTGATCGGCGATTTTTTTGAAAATGGAAACAATTTACAGCAAGGTAAGATCGTTTTTAACTATAGCCAACATTAGTTATCTCCAGTATGTGCGATTTATTGTCAATAATGCAATAAATCGGACTGATGAATCTGATTATGTTATTCGACTAAAAGTCTCTTTTTGCTTCTTTTTGATTTATAAGCCAGGTCTCTTTGGGAATAATGGACGCTTTTTTAAACAGTATATTTATATTTTATACCTATTGATATTTTTACATTGTTAATTTTAGTATAAAAAAATTGTTTTTCTGTTTTCAGGTTTTTGTATGGCTCGCTTGTAAGGCTCCAGTTTTCATGTTCCTGTGTCCGTTTTCTGTCCTTGAAGTCTGCGAATACGTGTGTTTATTTACAAGTTACTGTAAGTCATGCTTATACCTTAACTAATTTACGTTAAAAGTGCATATAATTAACTAATTGGTATTGAAACAATACAATCCTCTATATTTTTATATTTATTTAGTCACGTTGTTCCATATTTCAAATAAATATATGTGAATAAATTATTTTTTGGTTTTATTTATGAAAAGAAAAAATACAAAATACATTTGAACTGAAAGAGGGCCCGCCATTGAATAACCGGAAAGGGAAATGAAAATTAAGCCATCATGTCCTTATCATGTCAACCTGTCAATTGGAAAATTAGTTCTCCAGACGACAACGAAGGCTTTCGGTGGCGTATCGTGTTTCCAAGATTTAACACAGAGTTGACACTTCTTTCTAGTTAATTATTTTATGGTTTAGGCTACATACATATTTTTGACAGGCAGTTTTTTTCCTCCAAAAATTATGAATATTTTTTTTTCTCAAAAACGGTTAACGTTAGGTGGTATAGAGGATTTAATATCAAAATTCATAAAATTTTACAGAGAATTTAAGTATGTAATAAAAAATGGGGTCACCCATTTAAAATAAGAAAGTTGCTGTCAACTTTCGGTACTTCCGAAAGTGCCGCCATATTGAAAATATTTTTAATCGATAGATCTCATTGTGAAATAATGATATGCACAAAATCTCGTATCTAGATATTGTAGTTCTCTAGAAACTTCTAACGCAGGCTCAGCCTGGGACACTCTGTATAAATACTTGAATTTTGTCAACCATTATACATACGTCATTCAATTTTTACAAAATGTGCATTAGAAGCATATCATTATCTAAACAGACCGGGGGCCACATTTAGCTTCGCCGCTCCGGGCCCCCGACACTCTTAGTCCAGTGAGAGGTGTTCGTTGAGGTTGAAGAGTGAAGAGACAGTGTCCTGTTAGAAACTCCATGATAATCCGAAGATTGTTTTTAGTTTCTACTTAAATCAAAGAAAATCTTTGATTTTTCCCGGTTGTAAGTTTTGGGGAACTTTTTCGAGTGTCTAAAGCTTGATTTTCATGCATCCGTTATCCGACGAGACGTTGATACGATATTAATTTTATTGGTTGAATTTAAAGACTTCGATTGGTTAGAAACGGTTAACCAATCGAAGCCTTTAAATTCAATCAATAAAATTAATATCGTATCATCGTATCGTCGGACAACGGATGCATGAAAATCAAGCTTTAGACCGTAGGAGGCCTCCCATTCCATGTTACGGATGGAGTCCTCCAGGTTCTTCAGTTCCGCTTTAAGCTGGTTTCCGCTTGGAAAGCAGAATGGTTCTTAGCCAGTCAGTGGAGTCTTCGCTCCTTTTCTAGGTAGATCGTTTGCCTTCTATCCCTTTGTGGGCGGGCGCCCAGAGTAGGAGGATCTTCATTTCATAGCTATCTCTGACGCCGTTTTTTGATCATATTACCAGTATATATACAGTATGATCGAAAAAAAGGCGTCCAGTTGGCTTGGAAATGAACATGGATGACAATCTCTATTCCCTATATAATTTCACAAATAAAATTAAAGCAATCTTTATTTCATAGACATCGTTGACGCCGTTTTTTTCCGATCATATTGTATATATTACCAGTTAAAATACCGGTATTTATTAACATAAGAGAAACCTTATTACATTTACCGTATATTAAGTCAATCGTACAATATGGACAGATTAAACCTCAGGATTAAACATATACTAACATGGATATTAGGCTAGTGCTGACAACAAAATATAGAAAAAGCTACCTTTGCTTACTTGCATCAATTATCAATTTATCAAACCATGTAATATGTACTACTAACTACTTTATTTTTTATACAGGGTGCTACAAATTCAAGGTACGAGCATTGGTATAATAATAACTATAATAGATATGAACATGGTTAAATTGGGGCAAAGTTGCGCTTTAGGATGTTCACCAAGATGCCATCAAAAAAGCCATTTAAATTAATTTCAAGCCCGGCTCTGTTTTTTATTAATATTTAATCTATTTATCGTTACAATTTTGATAAGCTTTCAAATTTAACAATGACGTCGGGTAAAACATTGAATACGGAAAATCGGAATACGGAAATGCAATAAAATAATATAAAATAAATAATATGAATATAATATAATATAAACAATCAAATCGTTTCCCCGGGAGATGGATTGGAAATGGTAGAGTAGTATAATGACCATAATTTTACGTCATTTGTAAAAGTGAAATCAATATATTTCAACATCATTTATAATAAAGAGTACAAAATGCATTAGGAAGTATAAGAAGAAGATATGTTCATAGAGCTATAAATAAAATTGAACGAAAAATAAATTTGTGCATTATGGAGGGTGGTAACCCTTTCGAACATGTAGAGCATTAGAAACTAGTTTGTAGAAGTTGATTTATTTATAATAACTACATTAATATTAAGGTGCGTTCATACCAGCTGCGCCGCGCCGCGCCGCTTCAAAAGTACATGTTAAAAAATGTTATGCGCGGTGCGACGCGGAGCGGCGCAGCCGATATGTACGCACCATTATGCATATTATTAAATCGTACACTGATATTTCAAATTTACAATAAAAAAAGTTAAAAATAATATCTTTAAATTGCTGACCTGGATATTATTTATTTGAATATTTCAATTCGCTCGATTTTCCTTATTCAATGTTAATAATTAGCGCTGATCAATATTGTTGCGATAAATATAATCAGATTAAATAATTTAAAAAAAACCAGAGTCGGACTTGAAATTATTTTAAATAATAATTAAATAGTTTTGTTATTGTTAAGGTACCTAAAACAAAAACAAAATATAAAGTGTGGCATATCATTGGCCTCATGAGACCGATTTCTTTCAAAACCTGAAATAAAAAATGCAGGTCCGTATTTAAAAAAAATAATTTGGCCTCTGTATCTCACAAATTATCAGCTTATTTTAAAATTGTCAAAAAATACTGTCAGATAGCCCTAATAAAGTGGCTATGAGAATGTGTAATTAGTTTTTCGATTTTCTAAAAAGTAACGACAGGAAAAAATAAAATTGATTTTCAAAAAGAAAAACATTTTCTCCAAAAAACTCAGCAATCCTTGAAATGTTTAAAACTTTTTTGATGGCATCTTCGTAAACATCCCAAGGAGGAACTTTGCCCTAATTTAACCATCTTCGTATCTATTACGGTTTCCGAGATACCAAATGTTCGTGCCCCGAATTTCTAGCACCTTGTATACAGATTTTTGCTATTTTCTCTCAGCAATTACCACCACGAACGTGGGAAAATACACATCAACAGTGGTAGAAAAAACACTGTTGCTTTGATAAAGGGTAGGGAATACGCCATACGCCATCCAGACGCTAAGCTCGGCGCTCAGTTGACGTCGGGACGCTTCGTGAGACGCTTGCACGTCGTCCTATTAATAACGTCTCTCGATTTTCGAAACAAACCTACTGTTTTCATTCATTATTTGATAATACGCACGAGAATATGGGTCTATATCCGTAAACCATCCTGTATTTTAGCATTTTTTCTAACCGGTAACAATGAGAAAGGTAAGTGCTTTATATATATGTACGTGCACGATATTTTTTTTATAAACGTACACACGTTTTTTTATATTATTAAATAAAAAAAAATATTTGAGACATTATTAAACAGGTCACATGATTTCATTTATTTTCGAAGACTTTATTTAACTCTAAGAACACACATTATATTATTACAAACAAGACACACTATTTTTAACTCTAAATTATTACAATTTAGACATTTTTAAGTTCGATGAAATATTTATCGTGAAGTTGTTCTTGTGACAGAGGAAGTTTAAACTAGTGCTCGGCACAGACGTTTCAAACACCCTATATTACGCTTGTACGTCACTGACGTCACTGTTTTACCTTGCGTAACTCACAATAAACAATGGTCGCAATCTGGAACATGTTGCGAGTTGCGAAATCTTTTTCATCCTATAGCGACATGGTCTGGTCAGTGTTGCTTATTTTTCCTCAGTTATGTAGGCGAGTTTGATAGAGATTTTACAGATCACGCGTCTCATTTCGGTCATGATAATGACTGTGACTCATTTACCAAATATGTCCTAAATATACATAAAATTTTGTATAAATCCTAATATTTAATTAATGAATACAAAATAAATACCCCCCCCCCTCTCTCTCTCTCTCTCTCTCTCTAATTAATTATTCCCTTTACAAGAGGAAAAACTTTTTTGTTGTTAACATTTTGAGAAAATGGCATTCTTAAGTTTTTGTTTGTTCTAAAATGGTTAATCCCGTTTATACTTTTCCAAATTTCCATACCGTTTGAGAGAAAATTAAAAGAAAACATGAAAATATGGTTGAATTCCAACACTTTTTTTTGAAAATTCCAAATTTTTTGAAAAATTTTTTTGAATTTTTTTTAGTTTTTAGTTAAAAAATATAATTTTTTGATAATATGGCAACATAGGTATTATATTAAATTTACAAGAAAGAAAATCCAGAAAAGATCCAGTGGTTCTTAAAATTTTAACAAAAAATCATTTTTTTTTGGAAATTTTCAAAGTAATAACTCCGTTATTTTGGACTTATTTGAAAAACGATAAAGAGAAAATAATATGTTTCTTTTATTGAGATCTACCACCACGTAAAATACTTGCACTTATTTCTGGGACACCCTGAATAGATCATTTTCAAGTAATTTAATGCAAGTGAAACTTTAAAGAAAGAAGCAATATTTGTTTCAGCAAATTTTTTATTTTTCATTAGATATACAGAGTGGTCCGAACTGTATTCGGGAAACTTCGGCAGACTATTTCGCAGATAAAAATAGGTAAAAAAGTTCGTATAAATTCATGTCCTAAAATGGTCGTTTTGGAGATACAGTATAGAGGGTGTAGAAATTTAATCTTTATTTTGTTTTTTTCCAAACATTTATAAAATATAAATAAATAATCTAAAGTATAAAATTAGTCCCTAGTTTTTTTACATGAGAAATTTGATTTAGATGTCAATATGATTCCTACTTGTAGGAGGCGCCACATATATATATTTGAGAAGAGTAATAGGTATCTTTTCGTCTGTATATGAGTGAGGTTCAAGTTAACGTCTCCTTTCTGCTGCAATGGCTAAACTGGACGGGACCTACTTGTTTACGCGGAATCCGAATCGCGGTCCTCGGCCATATCATGGTCAATGGCCTACCGACTTAGGAAGTGTCTAAATTAACTCTTACTCACGAGATATCCGATCTCATCCGGCCTTGAACCGGCGTGAATGAGCAGTGCGTATCAATAGATTTTACACTTTTCCCTTTTTGGACAACAGCACGATGCAAAGTTTCGAACCGGTCACCCGTCCATCCACTAGCATCGCCTTACGTCGCTTAACTTCGGTGTTCTAATGGGAACCGGTGTTTCGACGTAGCTGGGCCGTTGCCCTTTTCGTCTGTATATCTGTGTCTATTAATCATTATTTTTTCTAGAAATGATTAATTTAAAAAAAAATAAAAAGTTCACAGATTTATCATTTCTGTCAAATAATAACTATCTAATCAACATGTTTATTTTTTGTCAAGAATGACATGTATTGACAATCCAAAAATCTTGGGAACGGAAGGTCGCAGCGATTTTTACCAAGAGACGTTTTTTACGTAAAAAATGGCGGATATCTATTTATTTTATAATTTTCACTCAGTAGTTCTATTTAGGTACAGACTAAAAGTTATTACTCTTCAAACTAGGTGAAAAATATATGTATCTGGCGCCCCCTACAAAGTAGGAGTCATATTGTCATCAAAAACAAAACCAATTTATCATGTAAAAAACACGGACACTAATTTGCATCCAAAGATCGACGTTAGTTCAGAAATTATTTAAATATAAAAAAAATAAAATATTATATAAAAATTATAAAAATATATACAAAATAATATTGAAACTTCTACATCTTGTACTCCGAACTGTTTTGCCTATTTTAATCGGTAGGATATGCAGCCAAAATTTCCGTATACAATTCCGACCACCTTGTATACTCAATCAGCATTACTTTCTTTTAAATTGTATGCGCAAGTCGTAAAAACACTATTTGCGATAAACTAAAATGGCAATTTTAAACAAATAAATAACTTTTTATATCATATTTATTTCTTTGAATGATTAAAAAAAAACACAAGGGCCGCGCGCCGTGACTAAATTCCCAAACTCACTATGCGCTTATGCAGTTTGTCAATTTGATGCGTCAATGTGTTGATGAATTGTTCGGCGGAATGTCGGTTTTTGGGCGAACCATCAGAAGAAGGACTCGTCGTGGACTCTGTGAAATTCTTAGGACTTGTTGTAGACAACTCGTTAAAATGGGACTTTCACATCGAAGCTCTATCAAAGAAACTAGATCAGTTTCTAAGGAACTTAACTTCTCAACCTCTAGAATAGCCTATTATGCCTTTTTTTAGTCACATCTTCGGTATGCCCTTCCATTCTGGGGTACTTGCTGCGCAACAAAATTTGATCGTGTTTTCAGACTTCAAAAGAGAGCAGTTCGATATTTATTGGGACTGAACAGTAGAACTCACTGCCAGAATTTCTTTAAAAATTTGAAAATACTGACTCTTCCTTCTTTATTCATTTTTGAATCCGTTTGCTTAATCCGCAAGCACATATCTGCTATTTCCGACAGGCCATCTCATAACTATCCACTTAGGAATGCAGAGCACGATCTTTATCTGCCAACCCGAGCTCAGAACTAGTTAAAGGTTCAATACTGTACAATGCCAAAAAAATGTACAATCATCTGCCTTTGAATATCAAGTCGCTTTCATTCTTTCCCGCATTTCGCAAAGCTCTAAAATCATACTTACTGGAGAGAGCCCTATATGCGGTAAACGACTTTTTTGTTGATGTTTAATTATAAACAATTTTGAATTTTAAAATTTTGATCATCTCACACACTGGTCAAAGGTCAAGTATTTAATATTTTATAACTCTAAAATTATATCTATTTACTGCGTACTGTTCTATAATTGTCCATGTATATTCTTTTTGTAATTTTAAAGACTTAAATTTTTTTTTGAATTGTATTATTTGTATTGTGTATTTTTTGTTGTTTGTATTTTTTTGTGATTTTGTTGTTTGTGAGTGCTTTGTCGATGAAGCTGTTTTGGCTTTTTGTACAATAAAGCGTTGTTTGTTGTTGAAGTAAGTAAGAGTCATACATGAAAGTCAAATTTCTCATGTTAAAATTCTCCCAGATACCAATTTTCATCCAAATATTGACGTTACTTCAGAATTATTTGGAAAAAATCGAAATATAAATAAAACTTCTACATATTGTATTCTCTGTATCTCCGAAACTAAGCCATTTTAGAATATAAATTTATATGATCTTATTTTTACTTATTTTTATCAGCAGAATATGCTGCTGAAGTTTCCGGAATACAGTTCGGACCACCCTCTATTATAAGGGGGAGGGGTAAATACATAAAAAGGTTGTTATTTATTTTTAAGAATTATCTATGAAAAATTAGTCTCAGTAAAGAAACGGTATTAAACACTGCAAGACATAGGAAAGACAAAAAAAAATCCTGAAGAAGCATGACACAATAAATGCGAAACGTCGTCGAAAAATTATTGTTTTAATGTGGTTTTAATCTAACCATAGCCTCCAGACCCAAGAAACAACTAAAAAAAATTATATATGTATAAGGCTAAAGAATCACTGTCAATGAAAAACTAGATGTATTTAAAAAACATGAAAAAAAGTGCCCAAGAGTGTTTAATGTTGCGTCTTGGTCTTTGTATTGCGAAAGTTCACTGGTGTCTTGGTCTTGCTTTTTGTGCAACAATAAGACCTCGTTGAAAATTAAGAGTTCCAAACGCATTTTTTTTTATAAAACGGAGCATTTAAGTCCCTTATAAAAAAAGTTTATAAAATTTTCCACAGTATGTTTTCGAATTGTTTTTACAAGAGGAAACACTTTTTTATTGTTGACATTTTAAGAAAAAATGCATTCTTTATAAAAAATTTTGCTTGTTCTAAAATCCCTTTCATACTTTTCAGAATTTCCATATCGTTTTCGAGAATATTAAAAAAAACATGAAAATATAGTTGAATTAAAAATCAAAAAAGGCCTTTTGATTTTAGCAAAAAATTCAACTATATTTTCATGTTTTTTCTTAATTTTCTCTAAAACGGTATGGAAATTTGGAAAAATATAAATGGGATTAACCATTTTAGAACAAGCAAACATTTTTATAAAGAATTTTTCTCAAAATGTCAATAATAATAAAAAAAATATTCTGTTGTCATGATATACTGTAAATGTGTTAGAAATTAAAGGAAAAAAGACTGCCCTGTAGCGCAGCGCCATGTCGCCAAAATCGTAGGCGACCGGTGCTAATAATTGCCGGTCGAAATGACCGTCACGTTTTTCTCGTCCCAATGGTCGTTGATTTTTGTTTTATGACGTCAGCGTGACTAGAATAGTGACGTCACAAAAGTACGGTAACTATTATGCAAAATAACCGCGCCAAACGTTTCAATAACGATTCTGTACGAAT